CATATAAACAACATTAAATAAAAGAATCTTCATAGAAGACAATGTGTCAGTCTGATGGTGAATTTCGAGGAAGACGATACTCCTATCTTATACTTGGTGTTTTTAAACAACAATACACACTTCTTTCGATCAATTAACAATTATTTTAATATTCTAATACACTCTTCTTATATTACAGTATAATTTAACATTCGAAGTCATCACTGTGCAGGTGTGATAACAAAAATTACATTAGAATACAAAAAATACTAAAATTACAGCGTTATAATGTTAAATACTCTTTATTAGAATAATTATTACCGTTACACACATGCATAATGTTCGGAAAGTCATGTAGACAAGATGGAATAAAAGAATTTTGGCAGAGGACAACCCGTCAGTCTGAAGGTGAATTTCGAAGAGGACGGTATTCCGATCATATAATTTGAGCTTTTAAATATCAATGCACATTCCTATCGATTAATTAACAATTATTTTAACATTCTAATATACTCTTCTAATATTACAGCATAGTTTAACATTCGAAGTCATCACTGTGCAGGAGCGATAAAACAAATATAATTCAGCTTAAACAATGAAAAATATTAATAGAGTAAAGTACTGTGTTCGATGTACCGTAAATAATTATTAATTAATCGAAAAGAATGTATATTGTTATCTGAAAACACCGAGAATATGATCGGAGTACTGTATTCCTCGAAATTCACCGTTAGAGACTGATACATTGTCCTCTATGAAGATTCTTATATTCAATGTTGTTTATAAGACTTTTCATAAAAGAAAATTCTATCTATTATTCCTATTATTCCTATTATGGACATGCGCAACGTTCGGAATGTCATGTAAACAACATTTAACAAAAGAATTCGAACAGAGAGCAATGACCTAGTTTAACGGCGGATTTAGAAGAGGATGGTACTTCGATCATATAATTCAAGCTTTTAGACGACATTAGACACTTGCATCGATTAATTAACAATTATTTGAATATTCTAATACACTGTTTTTACAATACAGGACAATTTAACCCTCGTAGTCATCACTGCGCATGTGTGATAAAATAAGTACATTAGAATGCAAAAAATACTAAAATTAGAATGTTTTAATGTTAAATACACTTTATTAGGAATAGTATTACCGTTGCACACATGTGCAGTATTCGGAAAGTCATATAAACCTGATTGAATAAAGGAATTCTAACAGAGAGAGGGCAACGTGTCAGTCTGAAGGTGAATTTCGAGGAAGACGATACTCCTATCTTATACTTGGTGTATTTAAACAACAATACACACTTCTTTCGATCAATTAACAATCAATTAATGCATATCGCATACTCTATTAATATTTTAAATTATTTAAATTAATATACATATGTTATTTTTTTCAACGTTTCTGCTCAGTGATAATTTTGAGTTAAAGAAAAAGAAAAAGGGAAGGGGGTGAGGGAGGGAGGGAAGAAGAAGAAGAAGAAGAAGAAGTTCTACCATACGAGGTGTGTTTATTGTTTAACGAACGAACGAATGAACGAATGAACGAACGAACGAACGAAGTATAATAAANACTTCGATCATATAATTCAAGCTTTTAGACGACATTAGACACTTGCATCGATTAATTAACAATTATTTGAATATTCTAATACACTGTTTTTGCAATACAGGACAATTTAACCCTCGTAGTCATCACTGCGCATGTGTGATAAAATAATTACATTAGAATGCAAAAAATACTAAAATTAGAACGTTTTAATATTGAATACTCTTTATTAGGAATGCTATTACCTTTGCAGACATGCGCAGTGTTCGGAAAGTCATTTGAACAACATTGAATAAAAGGATTTTGATAGAGTACAATGTGCCAGTCTGAAGATGAACTTATTTAATTTTATTATTTTTAAACAAATGTACTTTTTAAATTAATTTTTTACTTTAGTATGTATTAAACCAATTCTTATAATATTTAATTTTACAATATAAATTGATACAAATACTCACACATGATTCACATACTAGAATTCCAGTATTATCTGATATAAGATAAGAATCAGTATAATAAAGTTGTTAAGTTCTATGAAATAATAGATACAACTTTTTAAATTAAAAAAATAAAAAAAAAAACATTAAAAACCAACACGTGTAATTATTTTGTAATATAAGAATTTTCTAACAATAAGTTCACATTACAAAGAATTTTACTTTAGAAATACAAGTTAACATTAGATTACAAATAGAAATATTGAATTTTTAATTTTACAGTATATATAAGTTAATACAAATACTTACAGTATAAATATATATATATACATATTTATCTTAAAATATCTTAGATAGAATTAATCTGACATATGAGATAAGAATCAGTATAATAGAGTATTATACTTATATACTATAGTTGTTAGATACTGGTGTGGTACATGAGATAAAACATTAAAAGGTACATACGTAAGAATCAAAATAAACATAATAAAAGTTTTGAAATTCGATTTGTTTTATACTTGGTCGAATAAAGCATCGGTGTCTACCTGATCTATAGGTATACTCTAGAAGTATGTTAGTTAAAGTGAGATAGAATGAGTACAGGAAATATATTGCCAAGTCGGCTCTCAAAAGAGAAGCTTCGCGTAGGCGAGTCGTCGGCAACTCACTCGTACCTTGTGGATCGTTCTTTAAAAATAAAAATAAAAATAAAAATAAAAATAAAAACAAAATAAAAACAGGCAACGTAAAGAAAAAATAAAAAAGAAATCAAAAAATAAAATTAAAAAAAAAAAAAATGGAAGAAGAAAGTATAAAGTATCCAAGAGACTTATTAGGTACCGACATAGTATTCGCGATTCGAGAACCCTTATTAATACGAAAGTAGATTTCGATTTACCTGGAAATTTATTCATGTGTGTTTATCACATATATGTACGAGTATATATATATATTTATTTATTTATTTAGAATAAATGTTAGTTTTAATTACGAATTTTTGTTAATTAATTAGAAATATATTTTTAAATATTGTTGAAAATATTTTTTAACCTAGAAATTTCACCATGTGTATTTATCACATACATACATACATATATATATATATATTATAAGAATTTTTAAAAATTTTATATTTTTATATAATTTACGATAATAGAATAATGATGATGATGATGATGATGATGATGATGATAATGATAATAATAATAATAATGGGTAGGCAATTAAAAAGAACGATTATAATTGCCTGATAAATTTTCTCTTAATGACTTCTCTCAAATTACATCGTATTCCTGCAGATTGATTAATCGTTTCCGAGAAGAAATCTTTCTACATGTTGAACAACAGCAACAACAACACAACAATAACAACAAAATAATAATAATAATAATAATAATAAAGACAATGGAAGAGTAATTTGTACGATCGTTATCAATTTCTTTTCTTTTTTTTCTTTTTAATTTTTTTTATTTAATTCCATCAGAGAAAAGGGGAGCAAAAAAAGTCAAAAGAATTACTTAATTGGAACAATTATTTTCAAACGAGTGTTTGAAAATTACTTTTACCATTTTTGTTACATTTCTTTTTATTTTTTTATTTATTTATTAACCCTTATCGGTCATTAGATTTTTATATTAATGATTTTCACTAAAAGTTATAAATGGATTCGTTAAATACTCAAGTCAATACAAATACTGAAGTCATTTCTCACGTGACTTACAACCGATAATGGTTAATACATTTATTAATATATAAATATATATATATATTATTTATTTATTACAAAATGGTTAATTTTTATTGAAGTTCGAGTACTACACAAATATATGAAATATTATAAATTATTTAATTATTAATAAAATTACTTTTTAGATTTGCTAGTCACCTCCCACGTTACTTACAAACAATAAGGGTAAATATATTTATAAATATAAATATTATATATTTATTATTTATTTAAAATGAGATGAATTTTTGTTAAAGAAGTACTACACAATTATATGAAATTATTAATGATTTAATTATTAATAAAATTATTTGTATATTTGTAAATCACTTCCCAAGTGACTTACAACCAATAAGGGTTAATATATTTATAAATATATATATATATATATATATATTTATCTTGAGAAATTTATATATCAAGATATACATATGTGTATGTATTTCTTCTTAGATAGGAGATCGTAAACGATCTAGAACGTTCGGTTAAGCTCGTATGTTCGAATACTTAAGAGACGACAGAAGTATGTTATTACATTGGGTGAAATCGAGCGATTGCAGTCGAGTTGGTCATCGAGTATTAAAGTTATCCGTTCGTACGAGTAAGAATTATCTCGTAGAGTATTTATTTAACATTTTTTATTATCTGATCTACTACGTGTACTTATTTATATACATATGTACATGTATAAAACGAATATGTATGAGATTGGAATTCGCTTTGATACTTTTTTATTTTTTTTTTTTGTTTATTTTTACGACTCTCTGACTCTCTTGTTAAACATTAAAATCATTTCTATTAGAAAGGAATATATTCATTTCGCACGGTTTTAAATGATTACGAAATTTCCGCTTATAAATAATCGATTTATTCCTATAATCGAATATTAAAGTAAATTATTAATACTTTGGAATGGATATGTATCACTTAGGATTTATTAAAAACCACTTTCCCACACGTTTACTAATAATACGATTTGTAATCTCGTGAGAAAGAATTTTGTTCAAGTTTCTTTTGTTTTTTTATTTCTTTATAAATATTTTTTTAATATATTTTATGTGTTCCATCATTCAATGAACGATTTCTTTTTTTGTTAGATCCGATAAAACAGAAATCTATTATTTATCATTAATGTAAATTTTGTTTTTATCACCTGTCGATAAAGCAGGATTCTCTTGATTTATTTTCATTGTATTTTATTAACCCATAGTAATGAATGTTTTATCGACGTTAGAAAAATTCGCTCAATAGTTAATTAATTATTAATTTGTTATATTTGGACAATGAATATAAATAATAGATAAAAAAACACACATATATTAATATAATTTAATAAAATTTTATTGATATTTATCGTTTTTCCGATAATGGTACAATACCAAGAGTTCTTCCATCCTCATTTTCTTGCAATGTTAATCCATTTTCTTTTAAGAAACTATTTTCCAAAACACCAACTTTTGTAAAAGTACTAATAACTTTTTGATTTTCTACATTATCTTCGCACAAATTACGAACCGCTAAAATCGTCCATTGCATTATTACTGTTTTCAATAAAAATAAACAAATTTAAGGAAAAATATACGTTTGATTAAAAAAAAATCAAATTAAATCAAATAATTATCAAAAAGGATACATGGATTTCTAGCATCAATGTTACAACAATCAAATAACAATGGAATAGTATCCGTTTCACGAATCTAAAAATTCAAATTATTAATATAATGAAAAATGAACAAAGTAAATAAAAGACAATTTATTTCTAAGATTAGACTTACGATATCTTGACATTGTTTATTCTTATACGACATATTTCCAATAACTCTTATCAAACCTGCTTTAAAACCATAAGCAGGATGACGTTCCAAATCATTTTCTTCCTTTTGCGTAGATGCTGGTGCAACATCACTCAAATTTTGTATAGGTTTAAAATAATTATTTGGTTCTCTTGCATACATATGCATTGACTTCAACAAATCTTCAAATAGAAAATTAATAATTAATTTATTCATTGTATATTGAAATTATATCAATACTTACAACAACAATTTATAAGAAGACTTCTATTTTCTTGAATAGCATAAAGTATATCCGTTGCTTCTGATGTAAGTACACCCAATATATCAAGGAGAATAACTACTTCCATAGGTTCAAAATTATTATCCAAATACGTGTCCTTTGTTTTCAATATAAGATCACTCCTTTTGCAAAAACGATCAGACAAATATTTATTAAGTTTACGATTAAAAGTAAATCCCGTGTCATTTTTCTTCTTATTTTTATAAATAACATCTTTAGCTTGTTCATGAATTATATGAAGTAAATTCAATTTATCTTCCATTGTAATATCTTCATAAACCTTTTCAAATATATTCGCTTGATTGAACAAACATAACAAAGCTTCCTTGGCACACTCTAAATCTGTGATTTTTGTTAACAATTGAGAACACACATAACTGTTATCATCCCATATAAAATTGTCTCGGTTAAATATTTTCAATGCGTTGTGTACAAACATACAAGCTGATTTGACTATAGTTGTATCTTCCAATGATATACATTTTCTGTAAAAAATCATTTATATACTGTTACAAAATTCTAAATATTCTTTTAAAGAAGATGAAGATAATAAATTAGAATAATTACATTAGAGTATTTTGAAACGTTGCATTGACGAAATGATTCTTTATACTTTTACAATGCAACGAATTAATATCGTTGCAAGCGAATGAATAAAGATTGCATAAAAATTGGATACATAATCTTAATATTTCTTTTCTTTCTGTCGACAATGAATTATTGTAGTTTCTTATAATATAATCTATTGCCCATTCTGCTACACCGTTGTATGGAAAAATGGTATCCTTTTCTTCTTTCAATTCTTCTTTACATTTAGATGCATATTCTTCTGCTAATTTACCATACAATTTTCTACAATATTTTCCATTATCATTGTTATTATCTTTATCATAATCACCATGAATATACGTATTTAAGCACGAATTACCCAAACTTTTTAACAGAATAATTGTAACCTTATCAGGTGTATTATCATTTTCACTTACAATTAACTCAGCAACTTTTGCTAAAACGTTGTATAATTGACTGAAAAATATTTAAATGTTTTTATATAAACATATCATAAATAATTTCATATATGTATATACATATATATATATAAAAATTACTTAGGTTTTGTAATACCAAAAGCCATAGGATTAAGGTTCTGGTATAAATCATTCCAACGACGAGTAACCAAGATTGTATTTAATATATTAAACACTTTATTATTATCCATCATTAAATCCATCCTTCGTGTGAATAATTGTATATATATATATATGTGTCTATGCCTATGTAGATGAAATCGAAACAAAGCTTTATATAAAAACTGTATATATCTAATTGCGTAATAAGGTTAGGTTTGCTAACAGTACAATTGACGTTTGACTTTAGTCGAGTTAAAGTTTAACGAAAAGACTAAAATTAAAAGAATGTGAAAAAAGAAGAAGTTAAATAATTATTTTACATAAAAATAAAAAGAACAAAACATAATAATATTATTCGATTTTAAATATTTGGAAATGTGCAAGAGAGTACTACGTTAAATGTGTGTTTTTTTTTCGTATACACGCTAGTGTATGTCATTCTTGATAACAAATTTTTTAAGGTTAGGTCTTAGAAGTAAATAAAATTAGGTCAATCGCAGTGCAGAATTTTAATGAAGCAATGCAGATGCGGAAATATAATACAACGAATAATAGTGCTATTGATAAAAAAACAATGTATATAATAGATCGAACTAATATCAATGTGTGTGGTACATGTAAATATGTAAATAGTATGAGTAGGCGGAGAAATAACCACACCACCTATGATCGACCAATAAGAAGATAGTTTGCTTATCTAAGAAATACGTCATCGTGTATACACGTTATATCTCATCGGTCATATGTAGTGTTTTTTCTTGTTGAAGATAGTATTCGGTCAGTGTTTCGTGAGAACAGATGTTGTTCGTACGTTAGTAAAAATATAGTAAAGGAAGAAATCTTTTTTAAAAAAATTAAGTGTTTTATATATATATAATTAATAATAAGATATTAAAAAAGAGTTTAGTAGTAAACGCAGTGCCTTCAACAACATTGTCTTCCTCATTGTTATTATTATTATTATATTTGTAATAATAATTAGTCAGTGAAAACAAATTCTAAATAGATTAGACAAAATGAATTTATCATTCGCTGGTTGTGGTTTCCTTAGTATTTACCATGTTGGCGTATCTGTATGCTTTAAAAAATATGCACCCCATTTACTGTTGGATAAAATTAGTGGAGCATCCGCTGGTGCTATCGCTGCCTGCTGTCTTCTTTGTGACTTACCCCTCGGTGAGTGAACTCATTTGCTTACGTATTTAATAGATATTGAATATCTTCAATCATTTATACTATACATAACCTTATACTATTGAACGATTCACATGTTTAGAAATATCTTTGTTGTATGTTCACTTACGCTTAAGACAACAAAGAGTTTGTTTCTTTATCATTAACATCTTTCAAAGTAATTAACATTTACATCTATCGGTTTTATTTCACTAATTTACAATCTATAGTTATACGTATTGTAATACAATCACATAAGGTTTATGTATTAGGTGAATTGGAAGTAATGTTATTTTCTAACCTTAAATTCAAACGAATAACTTTATAACAAATTTTTATTTAAACAATAATATAATCACTCCTCGTTATCAACAACCTTTTTGCACTTAATATACATTTAAACATTTCAGAGAAAATGCATCATTTGTTTTGTATTATTCAGTTTGATTCATTTCGACACTTTCATATTGTTATTATTGTACATTTGTCATTATTCACCATACATCCATAAATTTAATAAACTTGACCACCGTATAGATATCTAATAAGTAGGTCACATTTGATTCTTTAGTAATAGAGATCATCAGAAGTAGTAGCAAGACCAATTATCAATAATATTGTTTATGATACGAAAATTGTGATTATAGAGATAGATGTTGCAAAACATGATGACACATTGATACTACGTAAATAAAAAGAGAGAATAATATAATTAATTCTATTAATATTATTATTTAATAAAATATATTATTTGTTTTATTTATTTGATTTTTTATATATTTTTTATAATGTAATTTGTTATTACTTTGATATATATCAAATATATGCATATATGTACACAACAAATGGCATAATAGAAAGTGTATATATATATATATATATATATACTATTAATAAGTAATTAGTTATTAGAATAATTATTCATAGATTATAAGAATTTCTATTTTCTATCTTATCTACTTTTATCTTCTATCTTATTTATTTCTAGTTTCACTTTACTTAATCTCATGGCATAATAGAGATTAAATATATCTACTTTAAATCTCTAATAAAGTTTTTTGACCTCCAATTCTATTCGTTAATTTCATTAGAAAATTATATAATAATCATTTTTACTATATTGAATACTTTCAAAATGATTTATCGGTACAATTAGTGATAAAAGTTTATCAAATTTTTATAGTAAGATATTAAAAACAAATCAAAAAAGAAAATAATTATCACAGCATATTTAAAAAAAAAAATGAGTAGAAAATAGATTTCTATTACGAAAAATATTATTAGATATATATAATCTATTTCTATTTAAAATTAAATTAAATAATAATTATTATGTTGTTATTATATTTTATTATCTGTATAATCTGTTTGTTAGGTTGCCACATATTATTTCCTATGAATCACAAATCTACGTTCAATAATATCGTTAATATATTAATCTTTTATTTATTATTTTTCTCTGTAAATTAATATTGAAATCATTCAATGTTAATTGTTAATATGTTTTTTTTTTTAAATGTTTCCAATGATATGTTAATTATTTCTTTTTGTTTTTCTAATTAACTCGACCAGTTATCACGTTTTTCATTTAATTACGTATAAATTTGTTTACAATTAACAAAAAATATGATAACTTTTAAACAACCTTGTAAACAAATTCCTGACTGTTTTTTTTTTCTTTTTTTTTTAAATCTTCAAGAAACTCGTCAAAATAATCTAAAATGAAAATCAATTTTGTTCAAAGTATTCTCATTATTTTCAATGAACTTTAAACGGGAAAGAAAAAAAAAAAAAAAAAGAAAGCAGACCTTTGTACCTTTCATTCTCTTTGTTTAATAATTATTATAACATTCAATCACAGTATCAACAAATGTATATAAAATAATCATTAATATCTTTGAATTATTTTTATATGTACGAAGAAAGAATCATATATTGAATTATTAGTCGAATTGTTATTCAAATCATGTGTAATCATGTATAATCATGTGTAAACAACGTTTGTTTTTTTTTATTCATAAAATCACTTTGGAATGACGCAATTCGATTCGTAGTTTTTGTGCAATTATTTATTTACATTAGCTAATCATATATATATATATATATATATATATATATATATATATATATATATATATCTTTCTTTTCTTCTTCTTTTCCTCTTCCTTTTTCTTTCTTTCAGATGCAGTTATATGTAACAAAGAAGTTGAATTAGATAAACATTATTTATTATTATTATTATTATTATTATTATTATTATTATTATTATTATTATTATTATTATTATNTAAACATTATTTATTATTATTATTATTATTATTATTATTATTATTATTATTATTATTATTATTATTATTATTATTATTATTATTTCTATATTCTAAAATCTATATCTATTATTCATTCTATATATATATATATATAACAATTTATTATATGTTATATAATTTATTAATAAATGTTTATTATAAATATATTTTAAATTTAATTTTTTTGTTTTATAAATGTTTAAAAATTTCTTAATAAGAGAATAACATAATAAATATATATAATATATGTATGTATACACATACACACACACATTAATAATATTTTCAATTTTTCAATTTGAAATAAGAGATTAAAGAAAGATTATAGATAAAATTGAACAAAGATCAAGTGCTACAAAGAGATAAGATTAAATACGTCAACAGTAAAATTAATCAGAGTTTAAAGAATATACGAATGCAATTTTCTTAGTTTCATTGTCCTCCTCATTATTTATATATATATATATAAATTAATGAAAGCAAATTTTAAGACAAAATAATATTGTATTTTCATTATAATATGTTTAAACTTTTAATACGTAAAAATGTCTTTTTTTTTTTTTGTAATATTTAGTTTTATTTTATTTGCTGACTAATAATATGTGCTTAGGCGCATACTTTCTTTGTCTTTTTTTTTTTTTTTTTTTTTTTTTTGTACAAATTTAGAGGTCAAAGTCATTTGCTTTTCAATATAATTGCATACCAATTCAATAGGTTTAAAGTCTAAAGAACATAATATAAAAAATGTTTATCTAACAGATTCTATCATGAGATTTTAAGATATTTATTTGAATTATTTTATTAATATTGTTATTATATATATATATTATTAATAAAGTGTATAGTTTTTAGTTAATTCATATAATAAGTATGTATTATATGAAATAACTAGATATGTTTTATTTTATAATAAAATATATATATATTTAATTTTAATATTAGGACCTTGAATATGTTCTCGCTGTCTTTTTTTTTTTTTTTTAACAAAATAAAAACTTTATTTAAAATATAAGGAACAAAAACGTTTTATTGAAAGTATTGCCCATCACTAGAGACCACTTTCTCCCATTTTACTGGGAGTATATGAATTCCGCGTTGGAAAAACGACATGTCTTTTGAGACTATCCAAGAATCGACCCATTTTTTAGCTTCTTCGTAAGAATGAAAATGCTGGTCAGCTAATAGTCTAAGAGCTGGTTACATAAAAATTGACCTATTTGCTACACGATTCATTTCTATTGAAAAAGGTACCTTTGGTATAGCTGAACATAAATCTGCAAGTCTGCCATCGCAAAACTGGGGTCTAAAGCGGGGGAGGGGAGGGGGTACGATTGAAAACGTGAAATTTAGGTGTGAAAAAGGTCATAAGGTACACGGATTCTAATTATGGAAAAAGCTTGTATTTATATTAAGGAATCGCGCAAAAAATATTGGCAGACAGTTTGCTTGCTCGGGGGTTAAAGTGCCGGCAGAGCGCGCCAAAGGGGTGTAAAAATTAATTTAAAAAAAAAAAATCACAAGATACATGAACAAAAAGTGTTTTATTTTATTATTTAAACATTAAGATAACAATTTACTAAATGGCAGAGAAAAATTTTGGAGCTAAAAGCCTTGGCAGACGGCTTGAAAAAGCGCGCTATAATAATAGCCCACATATCATAAGAACTTTCTAAAACATTTCTTGAAAAGCTTTAAACCTTTCGAAAAAGGTTTCTAAAAAATCTGTCTACAAGGTGAAAATGTCTGCGTTAAGAGACTTGCAAAAGGAATCTGAAATTCTTCAAAGGGTTCCGACACTGCACACAGGGTTTTTATTGCACCAATATATCCCGATAATCCTTCAATTTGTTTAGGGTACCTAAATTTTAATTTTGTAAAAGTACCATCAGTATAAACCCCTTTAAAAGCCATTCAACTCCATGTGAAACATTGTCTGCTACGCGTAATAATAATAACGTAAATCTAGATGGTAAAATGTGCTGACCCACCCTTGTATATACAGTGTTTGTTTGTTTTTTTTTGTACTTCCTTTAAACATATATAACATTTATTAATATATTTATTATTATAATTATTTCTAATAATTCTCTGTAATATTAATTGATATCTTTTTATTATTGTATAATTATAATAAAGGTTTTATTTTTTCTTTTTTTTTACAGGTGAAATGACAAGTAATGTTTTACGTGTAGCACAAGAAGCCAGACAGCATACACTTGGTCCATTTAGTCCATCTTTCAATGTACACGAAATATTATTGGAAAGTTTACAAAAGGTATAAGTGCGTTCATGTTATATCAAATATAAACAATAATAATTATATAATGAAACAAAATAGATATATATATATTTTATTAATCAGTTTTAACTGCGTTCTACATTTTATTACAAAAACTTTGTTTACTTTTATATTATCAATAAAACTGATATGTAATTTTATAAACACATATAACATTTGATTATTTTATCCCGATACATTTGGTATCTTACTATGAAAAATATCACATCGAAATAAATTGAATTTATTCTTTTTTTTTTTTTAATAATTATCTTTCTTTTTCTTTTATTCTTCTTGTTTAGGAGAATTTGATTATCATTTTAATTTTGTATCAAATAAAAATGTAATTTCTCTTCCTCGTTTTGTTTAACTCATTCAACTTGTATGATATTTGACATTGAAATTGTTGGATCTGTCAGAATGACTGGTCTGTGGTATAATCTAGTGTTAAATGATTTTAAATAAAAATGTATAATTTGTTTCAGTTTCTACCAGAAGATGCACACATTCGTGTAAGTGGTAAATTACACATTTCATTGACCAGGGTATACGATGGCAAAAATGTGATCGTTTCGCAGTATAATTCAAGAGAAGATTTACTTCAGGTAATTATTATAATAATATTTATAATAATAATTTGAATAACAAATATTTCATATATTCATTTATAAAATGTCTTATTGTTTTTTTTTGTTTTTTTTTAGGCACTATTAGCCTCCTCATTTATACCATTCTTTTCTGGTATATTACCACCAAGGTTTCGTGGGATTAGATGCATAGATGGTGGTTTCAGCGATAATCTTCCACTTCTAAATGAAAATACAATTACAGTTAGTCCATTTTGTGGGGAAAGTGATATTTGTCCTAGAGATACGTCGTCTCAATTGTTTCACGTAAATAACATTTCTACAATTTGTATATAAATAATTATAAATAGAAAACTCTTGTAAGATTTAATATTTGTGACAATGAACTTTACAGTTTCTAATGTTAATTAATAATAATAATATGTTTTCTTTTTTTTTTTTTTTTCAGGTAATGGTGTCAAACACAAGTATAGAACTTTCAAGAGAAAATTTCTACAGATTTCCTAGAATACTTTTTCCACCAAATCCAAAAGTTAGTATACTACAATAACATTTAATCGATAATTGTAATGAAATATATAATTATTTTATAAATAATAATGTATAAATTTATATTTCAGACTTTATCCAATATGTGTAAGCAAGGATTTGATGACGCTTTAAGATTTTTACATCGAAACAATTTAATTAATTGTACTAGGTGCCTTTCTGTACAATCTACGTTTGTTATATCGCAAACGTTAGATGAGAGTATTGTATATGATCCAGAATGTTCAGAATGCAAAATACATAGACAGGTTGGTTATTTATTGTTGTAATATTAAGTAGAATAGATTTTTTAAAAGCGTACGACTCGGTAAAACGAAAAAAAAATGCTCGAAATCCTAATACGACAACAGGGGATACCAAGAAAATTGGTCAACCTTGTTCAACTTTGCCTAAAGGAAACTATACAGGACAATCGTCCTGCCGGTAGTTCTTTATGGTAGCGAATTGTGGTCGCTTACGTTACGGGACGAAAAGAAATTGAGGGTTTTCGTAAACAAAGTTCTTCGTTAAATCTTCGGTGCAAAACGCGATGAGGAAACGGGCGAATGGAGAAAACTCTATAACGTTGAAGTACATCGATTGTACAACAAACCGGACATTATCAACGTCATAAAATCACGCCGATTAAGATGGGCTGGTCACGTGACGCGCATGGGGGAGAATCGAACGGCGCACAAAATATTGGTCGGTATACCAAACGGGAAAAGATCACTAGGTAGACCGAGACGTAGATGGGAGGATAATATTAGAAGGGACCTGAAAGAAATAGGGTACAAAGACCGCGAATGAAAGGATCGCGTTCAGGGACGGGAACAATGGCGGGATTTGGTATTCGCGGCAATGAACTTTCGAGTTCCTAATGTCAATTAATAATAATAATTATAATAACATTAAGTAGAATCAATTTGCTTTTATTCGATCAATAAATTAACAATAAATGATTATTTTTAGGAAGCATTGGTAGCTAATTTACCGGAAACCGTTTTGACCATATTCCAAGATGCCATTGATTCAGCGAATAAAGGTCTCGTCAATTGGTTGTTTAAACATAAAAGTATGAAATTACTTTCTATGCTTAGCTTGCCTTATACATTACCAGCAGATATAGTTTATGCAACATTTACAAAGTAAGTCTATGTGCTATTTTTAAAATTTATTATTTTATTTTTATGTATGGCTTTAATTTCTTTGGTATTTTTTTTTTTTTAATATTTCATTTGATATTATTTTTTTGTAAAGATAATCATTATAATGTAAGTGTTTTATATTGCATGATTTTATTACTAACATGATGCATGTGATTTGTTAGTTTCATTGGTAACAAAATAGAAACTTATAATGTGGAATATAAAATAGTTGGAAATGTAATTCGCACACCTCAGCGTGCATTGAGTTGTGCTAGACATATTAGATCTTCAAGGTAAGAATTAAAGTAACTAATACAATGTTATATTTGTATGTTGTTTCTCATGCATCGTATCATTATGACAATGTTTATGCTAGCTAATACACGCACATTGAATGTTTGTTTCATTCTCATTATACTTTTTATCGTAGTAATTGTATGTATATATCTTTAGTTTTAAATCTTATTACAGGTTTATATTAAACATTCCAAAATTACGAAATAATCTTGAAGAAGCGATTAGATATTTCATGGAACAATTGAGTTACATATTCCCAAAAGTCAACATATATTATCAACCAATACCTCAGACAATCAATTGTCAATTTGATATTACAGAATATGAATCTAGTAAGTATTATTATTTTATTTTTGTTATGAATTTTGTAAAATACAAATAATAGAACGCTGTATTAATTGTATGATACATTTTACAGATATTTATGATAAAACATCGGAAAACAATGATGCATTGTGCAAAACTTCTAAGAATTTGAATTTGATGCTACAATATAATGAATTGTGAGTAACTTTTACAAATTATTATACTTTGTATAAATTTTTGTATTATTTTTTTTATATATAATTTGAATAATTAATAATTTTTTTTTTTTCTATAGACAAACTTGGGAAGAATATAATAATAAAACTAATTATGTTATCGGATCGATGGATGATAGTTTGGAAAATTTATCACAAGTATGAAATATCAAATGATATTTTAATAATTTGTAGTGAATAATTCATTATAATTGTTTATTATTTTTTTGTTTTGAAGTATTATAATTTATTGTGTTAACATAACAATTGCTAGAAAAGAAAAACTAGTCTTAATGGTCCCCAGTGTGTATAATAATAATAATAATGAATATATTACAGGTGACTGCGGATCAAGAAGCAGTAATAGCTTATTATTACATGGACGGAAACAATAAAGTACAATTAACTGAAATATTTGACGTTACTGATGCAGACTCTCATGGAATATTATCCATCGATGAAGTTGAGAACAATACAAAGTTACAATTTGATGAATGGGATGAACCTACTTGGATATCGCAACATACCTTAAATGACGGTAATCAAAATATTCAACAAATGATTTAAAAAAAAATAACAATCTCATGTATTTATAATAATTAATATATATATATATATATTTAAATGTAGTTACAACGGAATCTCTATATACCGATGGAAATCAACAAAGTTTAGAAAATTTGTCCGATATATTATTAGACGACGATATATTGGACAATTCTAATATTATGTCGGATCCTGAAAGTGAATGGGGAATGGAAAACAGTAAACAAGAAGAACAACAATTGGATAATTGTCCTGATAGTAGACCAGAAGTAGATCAACCATCATTAGTATAATTGATTACAAAATATGAGTATATATTTTTAATACAAATATTATAAATTAACAATAATTTTAAACATTTGTCATACGTTAGACGAATATAGGATACTTCTGTATACTTTTCTTTTTTTTTTTTTTCTTCTTCTTTTTTTTTCTTCTATTATTAACGAAACCTTTTGTAGGTTTATTTTCTTTTTCTTTTATTTTTTTTTTATTTTTTTTTAAACAATTTCTTTCTATTGTATATAGCAATGCGCTTATCGATAGTATTTTTTTTTAAATTTTTTTTTTAATTATTATTATTATTATTATTATTATTATTATTATTATTATTATTATTATTAATAATGTAATTTACTAATTATATAAGACAATATTATTATCATCATCGTTGCTAAAACTTACTGATCAAGTGTTCATAGATCTCACGAGTAGACTGAAATATATTGGTGGTTAATATTTTATTATTATTAACGTTTAAATGATAATAGAGTTCATTTAAAATATCATAAATATTTAAAATGATTTTTTCTTTTTTTTTTTTTTTTCTAAGATTAATAGTCACATTAACAACACGGTGCTTCTTATTCTTGCCATATATATATATATCATTTCTTTTTTTCTAATACGTAGTAAGTTTTATTTGTAATATCAATTGCGTGAATTAATTTCTTTTTTTTTATATTTTTTTTATATATATATATTATTATTGTTATTTTCTCTTTTATTTGTTATTAGATATAAGTATATAAAACATGTTAAAAAAAAAAAAAAAATAACATACATTTCTTAAAACAAACGTCTAATTTATATGATGTTACAAATAACTATCTGTGATCACATACAGCTGGAACTGCGTGCTATTTAAATAAAGTTTTTATATAAATAATAATAATCATAATCATAATCATAATTATATAAATTAAAAATCGACGAATTATGTTATACATACTATATATATTTATAAAGATCTCTTGATAGCTCGGTGCTAGAGTGTCAGGATTGAAACCGTGGGTTCGTGAGATCAAATCCCGGCCGTCGCGAAAATAAAAATTAATTCATTTATATATATATATATATATATATGTATATATACAAAAATTTAAAATAGTCGAATCGATGTATATTATATAATTATATTTTGCCGAATATTTTTTAGAAAATATATTATACATGACGTATAATTTTTTAATAATAATTTTAGAATAATAATAATAATAATTATTATTATTATTATAATAGTAATAATATTAATTTAAGCAAATTGCGTATAAACCCCTTTCGTTATACACATTTATCGTTTCATTTCAATTTCTTGTTACATACGACCCTTATTTGAAGGTCATAAGGTTATTCAAATTTAAATGTGGTAACGAAAGGGTTCAAAAAAAAATCAAATCAAACGTATAATTAGAAAATATTATTTTTCTTCGAAAAAGATATATTCGTAGAGACGCCGCCATATTTTATAATATAAAAAGAAAAAATTGTTATTGTTATTGAGGGAAATATTGAAGATGACATTAGTAAATATTTTTGCTTTATTATTCACATCGTATAATTATAAATATTTATATATCAATCTTATTTTTCTTTTCTTTTTTTTTTCTTTTTTCCTTTTATTTTTGTCATTTTTTTTTTTTTTTTTTTTACAAATCTTAGCATCATACGATTCGGCCAATATTGGTTGAACATTTGTTAATTATTTTATTAAGTTATAATAATAAGTACGCAATATATATATATATATATAGATATAATGCTAGAATTAATAAATTATATAATAATATTTACAATATAATGCACAAAGAGAGTATTGTATTCGTGATATAAGTAAACAGATGATGATAATGATGATGATGATGATGATGATGGTGATGATGATGACGAGAACGAGAAAAAAAAAAAGAAAAAACATTATTTTTTTATTTATATTTATAATAAATAAATCCGCTTGTGTTTTCACAGTATTTAAATATTAAGAAATGTGTTATAATCAGTCTCATCGCAGTTGTTGTTACTTTTTTTGTTTTGTTTGTTCTTCTTCTTCAAAAAAGATATGTACAATTTAATAATCTTTCACGTATGAATATATTTATGAATTTAGAATACAATTATTATCTATACATTTGTATACATATATATATATACAGTAAATGATTGATTAACTAACAATTCACATATTGAATGGATTATATTTGTTAATCGGATTACTCACTGTATATATTAAAGATTTTCCTTTTGATACATTGATACATGAAACCGATACATTTAATTGTGTAATTTAAAATAAAAATTATGATTAATTATTATTTCTATTAACCCTTTGAATGTTATACTTTGAATACACATATGCATTAAGTAAAAATTGTCAATGTAAACTACAACAAATGCATATATGTATCTTTGTCGATACAAATACAAAGAATGGTAATGTTAGTTTGCATATTGTTAATAATAATTCTTTGGAGTCTTGTTGATAGAAAAATTATGCATGAATAAAACTGTCTTGTATTATTCAATTTTAAAGAAAAAAAAAATATATATATAATTTATTATTAACTACGTATAGTAAGAATCATTCGATGAAACTTATGTTAACGATGAAGTATTACATCACTGTAAAACGTTTTAATCAAAAGAGTATTCATTACTTGATGAATTAATAGATTATATTTTTTCTTCTTCTTTTTTTTATATATATATAAACAATTTCAATATACAGGAAAATCTTAAATACATAGTATAGGAATGATAATATGTAATTATATTCGAAGAATTGTTTTTGTTTGTTTGTTTGTTTGTTTGTTTGTTTGTTTGTTTTTACATATTACTTTCCTCTACTTTTGTATTTTTCTTCTACAATTATGCATATTTATAGAAATAATTATTATAACGCATGTATCAGAGATAATACGTATGTATATGTATATATATGTATTCTGTATATATATACAGAAAGATGTTGGATAGAGAGAGAGAGAGAGAGAGAGAGAGAGTGAGAGAGACAGATATATACATATAACATAGAATATTTGTTTAATGTACAATTAAAACTGAACAAACCGCGTGCAATGGTTTTTTGTTTTCTTTTTCTTTTTTTTTTTATTGCCATGCGTTGAGAATATGCAGGTATTTATAAAAATATATACATACATACATATATATATGTTTGTGTGTTTGTAGTATTTGTTGGAATATTTTATTATTAATTATTATTATTATTATATTCGGTTGTACAAATTTGTACGCTTTTTTTATTCATTCATTCATTCATTCATTCATTCATATACAATCCATTAACTTTACTTATAACTTATAGGAAGCATTCTGTGTTAATCATTACATTGTTTTCTCTGAATGTTGTTGTTATTGTTGTTAACTTTTTCTCTTTTTTTTATTTTTTGTTTTATTTGTTTGTTGTTTTTTCTTATTCAATTCATATGGCACCCAATGTCCTTCCTTCTGAATCATTCCTAACATTTTTAAACGTTTAGAAACAGTTGACTCATCAACTTGTAATGTTTTACCAAGTTCTCCTAAAGTCTGAGATCGATCTTCATCGAGTAATTCTTCCAATTCTCTGTCTTGAAATTTTTTTGGTGCACCAGAACGTTCTTTATCCTCAAGTTCAAAATCATTATTTTTGAAACGACGAAACCAGTCTCTGCATGTTGTATCCGACAGAGCATTGTCACCATAAGTATCAACAAGTATTCTATGTGCTTCAGCTGCTGATTTCTTTTGAATAAAATAATGCAATAAAATTCCACGCAAATACACTTTAGTTGGCACAAAAGTAGACATTGTTAAATAAAACTAATAAATAAAAAAAAAACAATTCCTTTGTTTATAATAAAGTGAACTATCATACGTTGAAATTTCAGGTTAGATACAGTACTTCCTTGCAAGTGCATTATCATTTGAAATTTCAAACACGGATTACTGCTATTGCCATCTTTGATGAAACAGCGAGAACTTATTCAAGGTCCTAATTATTTAATTCTTTTATTACATACAGAAAGATTTTATACTAAAATGGAGTAATAATTCGTCATTTTCACTTTGATATTAGTTAATTTAGCTTTTTATATTAGAAATATAGAATTAAGTATAATTATTTAATTAATTTTAAATCGATATAATATAATATATTAAATAATATAATTATTATTTACACAATTGTGCAATTAGTTGTTTAATTATTCAACATGGGGACAAATTTTGCCTAACGAGTGCTGTGACTTTGAATACCTTTTTTTTTTTCTTTCTTTCTTCCAATAGATAATTTTATATATTTAATTCATTAATTATGTAACATATTATTATTATTATTATTATCTTTTAATAATTATTATAATTATATGTACACATATTGTGTGTTTATATATGTCACATAGCAATTAATTTAAATATCTATCTCCCTTGCTCTTACAAATTCGATGAACATTTTCTTCTCCCATTCCTCTTGTGTTTTTTTTTATATTTTGGTCATAAATAACTACTTATTCGTTATTTTTATTTTGTTTTCTTCTTCTTCTTCTTCTTCTTCTTCTACTTATCGTTATAATAAAATATAATTTCCATTGAAACGATCAATTAAAATGTTTGTATACATCCAAAACAATTCGTACTTTCGCACCATCAAATTCATTCATTTCTTTTTTTCTTTTTCATGTTTTACGATTCACAAACTTTTTCCACCATCAATTGAAACTCGAATTATATATATATATTTTTTTTAATTTATATATATATATATATATATATACATCTGTATTTTTATTGAATAGAATTTTCTTTCATGGCCAATTTATCTCATAGATACACATACACATATTTGATGTAACAGAACAAAATTTCCTTTTTTTTTTTTTTTAAATTTACTTCATTTAAATCAAAATTAAATATATATAAAAATTTACATATGCATATGAATATATATATATATATAATATGTAATATACATATATGTATATTATTATATATATGTATATTATTACATATATATAATATTATGGTCATACCAACACTATGTTGTGTACTATACAGTGTAATATACATATATGTATATTATTACATGTATGTATATTGTATACTATACACAACACTATGTTGTGTAGTATACAGTGTAATATACATATATGTAATATTGTGTACTATACACAATACTATGTTGTATACTATACAGTATAATATACATATATGTATATTATTACATATATGCAATATTGTGTACTATA